CGAAAAAGCGCCTACATACAGCCTGTAGGCGCTTTATCCCTTTTCAAATGACGCCTACAGGCTGGAAAACCAATGTAGGCGTCATTTGTATACGCCTACAGTCGAAAAAATGAAATGTAGGCGTCAATTTGAAGCGCCTACATATGTGGGCGCACAGAAATTACGCCTACATTTTATTTTTTCGACTGTAGGCGTAATTTGGGTGCGCCTACATATGTAGGCGCTTGAATTTTACGCCTACATCCCTTTTTTTGCATGTAGGCGCATTTTCTGAGCGCCTACATTTAAGATTTGACATGTAGGCGGGTGAATATCACGCCTACATGCAGGAAAATCCATGTAGGCGTGGGAAAAAAGCGCCCACTTTCCTAATACAGCCATGTAGGCGTCATTTCAGCGCGCCTACAGCTGTTCAGACGCGTGGGAACGCGCCTACACGTGTGTGTACGTGGAAGTTTGGTCAAACTTCACGTACACATCCACTGATATAGAGGCCCCTTGGCTCCTTTCCCCCCTTTTCCACTCTAGAACACGGACTTTGACCTTTTTCAACCCTCCACCCTTCAAAAATTCATCAACTTCTCAGTTTTAAAGCTAGTCACGCCAGGTTTTCACTCTCCACATCAAATTAAAATGAAAAACAACAACTTCAACAACAACAACAACCAAATCCCTACGGGTGATTTTAAACCTTTCAACAATACCAATCAGATGAATAATCATAACAACAATTTCAACAGTTTACAACATGATCAAATGAATAATATAAACAACAATTTAAATCAAAACTTCAGTAATCAAATGATGAATAATATGAATCATATGATGAATAATAATAATCATATGATGATGAATAATAATAATCAGATGTTCAATAATCATAATAATCATTTATTCAACAATAATCTGTTAAAATTTGATTGATATATATGAGGAAGTTATTTACAAACCTTCTATTTCTGAATTATAATAATCTGATCCCCTTCATGTTGAGATGAGAAGATTGTATTAAACTTCAAATACAATAACACAACTGCGTTTTTGGTCTTTTCTGTCCTCCGGTTCTCTCATTTTGAGTCCGGAATGTGTTTTCCGTCCTCCGGTGCACTCATTTCGAGGCCGAACTGCGTTTTTGGTCTTTTCCGTCCTCCGGTTCTCTCATTTCGAGTCCGAAATGTGTTTTCCGTCCTCCGGTGCACTCATTTCGAGGCCAAACTGCGTTGTGGACATCAAAATGGGGCTTCATTACCCTGCTGAGGGGTTATGAAGCTGGATTTGTAGCGCCTACATTTGCACGACTGGATGTAGGCGCTGATTTGGGCTGAAAAAACTATGTAGGCG